TTTCCCTCATCCCGCGATCGTCGGGCCGCGGCGTTCGTGTGTGATTCATTGGAGGATGGGAATCTAAATATAAAGATACCGCGCCGAGAAATAGGCCAGTCGCTCATAGGACGCGTTCGCCATTTCGGCCAGCGCGCCGGAACCACCGTCTTGTTTTCAGCTATTTTCAATCACGCGACGTGGCCTACTGGCCCGCTGGTGTGCACATCCTTTCGTGGAGACTGAGAATTTTTCTCTGTTAAATTGTTTGTATACGTATTATACTCCATCTACAATTAAAAAATATTCGATGATGATATTTTAGAGCTCGCCATAATAATCGAATATAATCCACAGAACTTCTCTCTCAACATTTAAGCTAATATTTTTAATATCCTTTTTTTTAAGAGCTTTAAAATTTTTTTATTTTGTCAAAAGCATCGTGACGATTTTTACATTAATTAACGTAAATGACGATTCTCTCATTCATTTTGATAGATCAATTATCTTTGCATCTCATCTAAAATCGCTTTTTCATCATGTATTGCTGCATGCTCGCTTTTTTAGTCTTTCAGCTCACTTGTTTACTGACAGTACATGTACATGTTACGAATATATTACAATAGGTATCTACGGCACAAGTGCACGTTTTGTTCAAACATTTTTACGCCAATCAATTCTCTTGCAGCGGGAACAAAAATATGTGGAAAACGGCGATATTAGACGTATTAGTCGATATTTGACAAAAGTCGTTTATCCATGCAACAATGTTAATTTTTATTGACACAATGCCAAAACGTGCGGACATCGCTCATCTATTACTATTAACTCACCGCGGTTATTTGTATTTCGTAAGTCTCGTGAACCTTTCGACGCGGTTACCGAAGCGCTTGTTTATTTTCTATTCTAACTTTAGCACGAAAGTTTAGCCACAGCGGGCGTTCCGTCGGGGCTAAATGTGCGAATTTAGGCATCCGTCTGTGGATACGAGTTATTTGTATTCATCGTTTCAATTGATACATCAATTCTTTTTTTTTTTTTATAAATTAGTGATGTATATTTAAAAATCTTACACTGAAGAATTCTTTTGTCGTTCAGTTCTGGCTTGCGATTTGCTAACAAGTTCACGGCGCGCTACTCGAAATTAATTTCATTGCTTTTTATTTTTTTTTTTTTGGTGGATATGGGTATGCTTTTTTAATCAAAGGATGCGCCTGCGATGCCATTGCGAAGAGAAGAGTCAGGAATGAAAGTGATCTGCTGCACGAGATCGACAAAGCTTTGAGAATCGGCAGGGGATTTCTACTTGGGCAAGGTGCGTTTGCAATTTTGCTTAATCATTGACAGCATGCGTTACATAATTTTGCAAAAAATATCATTAGTGAATGTTTTGTGACATCATTTGCAAAAAATATTGATACTGAAAAACTGAAATGTCTCGCAATTGTGGAATTAGGTCTGTTTTCTGTGGCTGTACTAGTATACACTTTTGAAACTTAAAGTGAAACAGGTATATATGTTTGACATTTGGCCAAAGCGAGAAAGAGAATTCTAGTGCAGTCTAATGTAGGAACAAAAATAAAAACTTATGATATGAAATTTTGAACGTCATTCATTTTACTTTAACGTTACTTTGTTTTAACGTCGGGTTGAAGATTGAGAGAATTCAGATCCATCTTCCAAGCAGACGTATACACACGTATATAGCTCGGCTTGTTGGCAGTGGATTCGTGATTTCGTATAGAGTAGCCTCGAACGAGAGTAGCCTCGTAGCGTCATCGACGTCGGCGTAGTGAGCGTCGCGCGGCGTGGCGTCGAGCCTCGTCGGTGCGGCGTCGCGACGCTTCAGTCGACTGGCACCTACCGTGCTACTTTCCCGTGTCTCGCCGAGAAGAGTGTCCCATTGAGATACGCAGTGCCGCGTCGAATAAAAAAGAAGTCATTGAAATCGTAAAGTGACGATGTTGGAGAAAAGTGAGTGATTATTTTGGAAAAAGTTGACGCATTATCGAAGGATAGCGAGGGACGAAGGCATGATGGGTGTTCATAAATTTCTTCAACAGGTAGTTCCGCGGTCGCGAGGAAGCTCGGAACTCGCATCTTTCCGAAGGAAATCTTCAGAAAAGGATTACGAGTATTTTTAAAATTATTGCCTTTCAAATTCGCGGGAAAATATAAAGACATTAAATTGGTAAAAATAAATAAAATAATCGACGCGGCTGGAATTAATTTTATGTTAAGATATATTGAAGGAACTTCATAAACAAGTAGAATAATTCGACAAATCCTGATTTTAATATTTGTAAGTTATACGATCAGTTTTCGAAATGCATTATGGCGGTGGTACACTCTATCGTGGAATAAGGCAGTCTACTTGGTTTTATTCTTCTCTTTGAGCTCGTTTCGCGGCATTCCATCAAGATTGCTTTTATATTAATGAATCGTGGCAGTTCCATCGTGAAAGTAACTTTGAAGAGCTCTCCAGACGATATTGAACGCGGAGTGTAATGTAAGCCTTACGTCGCGCAGTGTTGACTTGCGATAAGCATTAAGATATTCCGTGTTGATAATTAATGATTTAGATTGGAAAAAATTGTCACGGACGTACGAATTAATTACGATGAGAAATCGTGAGATACATGAAAAGAAATTTGTTCAAAAATTCGTCGTTAAAAATAATGCGATTTACGAAATAACGAAAACCCGAGACATTTTGTTTGACAAAATGTTGTTTAATGCTTTCAGAAAACGTTATGTTCGCCCCCACGTTTAAAGCCTCGTCGGCGAAATCAGGTAAACCTGCGCGAGGAATGTGTGAAGAAAACTAACAGTATAATTTCGTCGTGCATCTTGCATAATGACTGAAGATGCAATCTGAAATATTAATATCCAACGTTGCCCGTTCTCGAATAAAACTACAAGAATATTTGTCTATTAACATTTTTAATAAAACTTTCGGTAATTAATTAATTAACTTTTCGAATATACTGGAGCCAGTGTAATAAGTGGATGATGAACGACGCGATAAGAGAAATGGAATTGCCATCGGGAGAGTGTGCTTCTATTACGTTAACCAGCGTTCGTTCCGAAGACGTAATAAAATTAATTACGTGTAGGGTGCAGATCGTATTGTGTGGGGCCACGTGTGTTCTTAGCAACGAAATTGTAATTAAGTCTCTGCCATACGCGTGTGCGTATCCTCGTATATGTATTTCCCGAGTAATACGCGTAATCTCATTCAGCAATTTATCCAGGAAGGAAGGGGCATTAATTTCGGTTACCTGAGAACGTCGTCCTTACAGTATCGGTGTTTCGACTAATTACCGTTGCCACGGTTGTTAGTTGCGAATAGCGTGTGCATGTCGGTACACGATCCAAAAACGATGGCAATTCTATGTTTTTGACGTTTCGAACGCTGGATGCAGCTGGCGTCGCGACAGCGTTGATTAATCGCACGTACGTTGCAATTAGTGAAAATGTATAGCCGTTATTGTCGTACATAGGTTGTAACGTGTGTAACATCAATTATTGTATAGTAAGTGAAAATCAGCCGAAAAATGTTCACACAAATAAGCGAAGTCCGTATTCGTTTGAAGTCATTCTTGGTGCCTAATAATATTTTTATGTAAATCTTCCAATTTCCAGTTTGATTTAATTATCACATCTCTGGATAGAGAAACACATGAGAGATTATCTTTCACTGACCATATTGTTTCAGAGAAAATAAAGGACAAAGCTGAATATTTTAGGATTTTATTCCTAAATATTTCCAAACTAGTTTGTGACTGTAAGAAGTCTGTTTTAATTTCTGAAATTTTCGCGCAGTATACTTGAGATAACTTCTAAGTAAAGCACAAGTTATCATAATATCAAAATGATGTCAAAATAGCTGCAAATTTAATTGTTAAAAGTTTTCCCTTTTCAATTAATCACGACTCATTTTGATGTCATTTTGATATTATTGTGACTTTGTTGTTCTGTTTAGGCTAATATTGCTCTTGCACAAAACTAAAATTGTCGGTAGTTTTCATAAAAATTCGCTCATTAGTATATTATTACTTGGAATGTTAATTATAAAGGAATTTCCCGTAATATTATTAAAATAAAAGACAAAACTGAGTTTTGAAAAAATAAATAAATAAATAAATAAATAAAGGACCTGTGAAATAAAGGACCTTTACAACAATGGACGTATGGTCACTGCAGTTACTTCAACAGTCGTGCATGTTGACGATGTTTTGTTTGGGACAAAATTTGTAACGATATCAGATAACTCGATCAGAAAGCCCGGATGTTTATGTTTCTCCCAATTTCCTTACCTTCGTATCCGATTCCGGACTTTTGGTCAACCCGAATTCATGTATATCGAATTCAGGTTGTAACGTTTCGCTAACGTGCCGTGCGCAGAAAACGTGTCGCTCCAGAAAACGTGTCGCCGCGGTATTGTGTTCAGGTTGTTCTCGGCCAATTGCAATTATGCGTATCTCATAATACCTAACGCCGCCCACGCGAGCTTCTAATTTTACCAGCGTCCCAAATGAACTACCCCTGATTTCCTGTTGCCGCGCGACCGCGAGAGATATGACTCTGCAAATTGACCGAGAGGTTCAATTCCAACGGGCATATGTGCCTGATTCATTGTAGCGACGATGTATCTTTATCGTGCCTGTAACGTTGTCTCCCCTATCTGACATTCAAGCCGTCAATAACTTCGTTTATGTCACCGACGCGACGTTGCGACATAGCATTTATTCTTATTTGGACTGCGGTAACGAGTTAATAAAATCTTTGTTTATCGGCCGTTAAAAAATATTGCTCCGAGATTAGAAACGGCGTGCAAGTCTGTAAAAATACTCTTCCTGCAGCTTTATTTCTTTTCAGATTGTTGACGCGATTAATATAAACGATAGGATTATCAGATCGTTTACGTCAAAGAACCGTTTTTAAACGGATCGAATTAGTAATAGGCAGTGACGTGGCAAAATGAGGAAGTAGTAGGGAAAAAGATGATCCCTTATGTAATGCTCCCCTGTGAGCCAAGATTAGCATCGCGCCCGTATACATTTCATATGTTAGCTTTAGCGCCAATCTAACAAATCCATACAGCGTAGCTGTATACTTTGCAGGAGCAAAAACCTTTTGGCGAGTTTGTTTCTTTACTAGCAGTCTTTCTTTAATTGGCTCCTATATTAGGGGCTTTTGTATATTTAATTATAACACATAAATCTAAAAATGATAAAAGCTGGGTTCATTTGTAGGAAGTAATCGATCGGCTTGACCTTCTTTTTTAATAAGACTGTTGTTAGTTCGTCTGACGATAACCAAATTTGCCTGACAATGAGTGTTGATTAACAAAGGTCTCGTGGACACGCCGTATCAATTACATTCTTAAAAGTGAAATTTCGTTGCCAGGCGTTTGGTCGCCAGGACAAACGCCAGCTGAGAAGGCACCGAGTCCCCAACGAAGCAAAGAACCACAGAAGAACGAGCCGATCCCGCCGGTTTGGGTTCCCGCCAAAGCCGGCGCGAGCCCTGTCGCTGAGAGGAAGGAATTTCGTCCTGTGCCATTCGAGAGTCCTGTACTAAGCCGGAAGAGGCAGCCGAAGGAAGAAGTATGTCAGCCAATTATACCGAGACATTAGCTATTTATCTGGCGTAAAAATTAAATTCGTGATTGATTAAATCCTTTGTGGGCGTGCCCGTTTGGACACACCTTTCATTTTGCTGCTCGCTCGATTGTCATGAAACTCAATCTATAGGATAATTTGATAATGCTTTATTCGATCAAAAATAAATTTAAAATGGTAAATTCAATATAGTAGATATAATTTCAAAAAATAATCTGATTATTCTAAATATTCTCATAATAATAATAATAATAATTTGATAATGCTTTATTTGATTTTTAAGTAAAAACACAGATGGATATACATAATTTCAATAAATAATCTGATTATCACACATAAAACATGGTTTTAGAGAATTTTTAATTGTGAAGTAACATCATTTTGAGTTTCGCTTTATTCGAAGCTCATTAGTGCTATGCAAACAGTTAGAACTGATTTTCAAACTAACTTCCAAACTCTGATTATAAGCCCCATGATATACCAGATCCTCTTTCATTGGAAGTTACTCTTTTGAAATTCGAGATTTTCAGGTTACATTTAAACTCAGCGATACCAAGAATCTCCTAAAATCGAGTTTCGTGATAGTCTTGAATTTTAGAATTCTGAGGCCAGAATCGAATTCAGCGTCTTCGAAAACCCTTAGAAAACAAGACTTTCTTGTAAGTTTCTTTGCTAGAAAGCTTCCATCTTCAAAGGGTTAAGTTTGACGAACAAACTTGAGACAAAATCAAATCCGGAGAACTCTTTAGTAAAAACACAGTAATAAAAATTCCCTTTACAAAGGAAAAAACGGATAGCTGTAATATGTATGATCGCTTTATTCGAACCATCTTCTCGCATCGATGGTAAAAAGTTCAAGGATACACACTCTCACACGAGATTCTGTTCAAGGAGGCGCCTCCGCCCTGGCAAGGCGACGAGAAGAAAGAGAGCGGCATCTCGCGAATCGTGAATTCGCATTCGGCACCCTCCCAGGGGTTGAACACCCTCGCGTCTACGCCGCGATTGCCACGTGCCCAGAATCCGACCATCACATTGCTGCAGAAAGCGCGAGGTCAGCACCCATTATAAGAATCCTTCTGCTTATCGGAGGCGGAATGAATAAGGATTAAAGATTTGCGGAATTACATGTTTTTTTCTTTCGTTACACTAAACTACCATTGCAATTTTATTGTAGAAGGACAATTGCCGAAAGGCGCAGCTTACTTGGAGGAAAGCGATAATCGGCCAGTGAGCGACGAAAGACCGCTAATCTCTCCGGGAGAGATAAGTAAGTATCGATCAGCTAACTTCAGTCGAACGTTACAGCGTTATGATTATTATATTATGATTATTATATTATGGTTGATTAATTTTTATATGAAAGCCATCCGATACAAACGTACCAATATAAACGATTTTCGGAAATCCGTTTATGTTTCTTATTATTACTAACGCTCGTCGCTAACTAGCTGTGTCTAATTACATATGTGTCGACCTATTTTCTGATTGCGTACGCGAGTGCTAATGATTTATTGTGAAATTGAATCGTTCAGTCTACACGTTGAAGAAAGAATACGAGAGCGAGCCGGAAACGGAAAATGAACCGCCGAAGAAGATGGCCGATCTGGGCCCTCGAAAATTCGAGGGAATCGGACCGATGACTAGGGAAGGTATCCCTCTCGTGTTAAGATCGGTAGGTCGCTAATTATTAAGCAAACTAAAAGTATAAATTTTCCGATCGGTGCGATGAACGCTTGGCAAGCAGTTATGTAAGAAAGAAATGATTTATATCACAATTTTTAATCACGTTATAAACGAGTAATTATTTTACGTCGTGCGATGCACTTTCTTAGTACTCTCTCGATAAATTACTTCTAGGAAGTCAAGGAAAGCAATCAAGCGAAATGGTACAAGAAAATGTATGACTCGTTGCACCGCGCTGATAGAAACGGTAAGTTTTGTAATTACGGATGGTTATTAAATAAATAAAATTTCACGTGAGAGATACAAACAAATTATCCGCGTGTTTTTGTTATGTTGGACATACAATACTAAATTAATATCATCATTATTTACGGGATAAATAAGGAATTTAATATCATTCCGATAAATACGCGCGTTTGGAATAATAATATTAGTCGGTGAACGGGCAATTCGCATAATTCCATAATTTTGTTTCCAGATGACTACGTAACCATAAAATACAAATCAAGAAGAGGTGAATATGCAACTACCGCGCATGACTGCTGCGATGGTCGAATTGCGACATTTGCTACTAATATTACGCTGTGCGTGGGTGCGCTGCGTAACGCAGTCGCTCTAGCCATGATTTGTGTAACAACAGCGTAACTAATATCTGTAAAATAAAGCGGCGGAGAGATAATCTCCGGTTGTGTAGCAAAAATGTATCGTGGCAAGATACTGTGATATTTTCCGTATATTGGCAACTGATGTATGGCCTTCTGCGTAACGCAAGATAACAATTGTCGCTGTACATATACTCGCCGTTTAACAGCTACGCTAGTCGAGCGTGAAAAACAGTAATAAACAATTTGCGACAGATACATAAATGACTACCTTGCACCTACCTTATCTAACATCCGGCTGATAATTAACACCTGTCTCTCGCCGGCGGGACTCGTTCTCTAGATTAACATCGTGGTTAATTCGATTAATCGTTACCATTAATGTGTGTTTTAACTTATGAGAGATTGCTTGGTTTACACAGTCCGTATTGAACGTCTTAGAATTTGAAGATCCCGACGGTACGGGATTTCTCATCGAATATATCAAACCAAGTCGGGACAACTTCTCGAGTTGGCGTAAGTTCTTGGTTGTCGCGAGGGAACTTCTTGAGTTGATTTGAAGTTCTCACGTCCGATCTTTCGCGACTTTCGTCTTTTAGATTGTTTCATCGCGCTAAATCGATCTTCTTGCGGCAAAAATTTAATCTCAAATTCAATTTAAAAAACTCTACTTACAAAAAAAATCGATTAAAATTTAAATTGAACTGAGATTAGGTTTTAATTTCGATGCCGAAGATCTCTCGATGATTAATTCTCGAATAATGTGTATACTAATGTTACGTAACACGGTATGTGTGTATTGTGTGTGCGTATGTGTGTCGTAACTTGATATTTCTATTATAACGTCGTAGGAACTAAACCAAACGTAAACACCGAATTGTTTGCACTCTTAATTGAACGTTATTTGGTTACCGGTAGATTTTTTTTGCTGGAACTAAACGGGAACCCGCGAATAGGAATCCGGCTGCAAACAAAATGCGAAAAACGAAACATTCTTGTTTCAGGAGGGAGATATGGATACGGAAGCGGCAGCGGATATTTGAGTGAACCGGAACCGCGTGCATACTCGGATCGATCCGTTACTCTCGATAGCCGTCGACGACTGCGCAACAAAGAAAATGACTTCACCACGGCGACTATGCCCAGAAAGTAAGTGAGAATTTTGAAACTTTGGCTTGTTTCTCCCAGCAACTTGCGAGGATGCTTCGAACCGTTTAAATTTCCTTCATGTATCCTCGATTTTTATCTCTCGATCAAATTTTGTTGACAGATGGAACAGATCGTTTCTCAAACAACTGGCATGTAAAGTATAAAACTCTTTAAGAGATTTATCGATAACGGGACGCATTTTACATTCTGTTCTAGAAATGGGGCGCTGAAATACTCGACAGATATTTATAAGAACCAGCCTGGTCGCATCGAGGACTATGAACCAGGACACTCGTCGATCGCCGAGAAGGAAGCTAAAGAGGTACGGCGTATCGTTTTATCGTCCGTAACTCGAAAGTAGACAGACCTGCCTGTAATATAAATTAAAACGCACTTTCCCATAACATCGAAAAGATTCGGTCATACGACACCGTGTAGAAATTATTAGCTCGCCCGAAGAGTAACGGTTTATGGGACAATCGAATCTTCTAACGATGGCAATATTTCGCGTTGATAGCCTCCGTTAAGTAATCTTAATTAAGTACAATGTAGAAAAAGAAATATATATATATATATATGTATGTAAATATAATGCTAGTACTAATACTATGGATTACCATTTGAAAGATCTAGGTATGTATCACGCAAATTTTTAGAAAGTTCGATATTATAATATAGAATTTGACGTCGTAAAAATAATATGTAACATTTAGATGTCAATGGGCCAAATCCGAAAGGACAATCTCTGGTGGTCCGCTTGTTACAAACTATAGCTAGACGGACCCAGTCACGTTTCGGAGATTTATGAGATGTCCACCACATATGTGTGAGTTCATGTGCGGTTATTCTAAAACTTTGTACGTCCAACCTTTTGGCCCATTGGCACCTGAATGTTACATACTATTTTTACGTCAGACTCTGTATCTTAATGTCAAACTTTTCAAAATTCATGTGATATATATCTCTTCTTGTTAGATATAAGAGATAGATAAATGAAGAAGGCAAAATTTAGCTGACCACGGTTGACACTAATGTTGGAGTGCGCGCACGAACGCGAGCTTAAGATCGGCCATCTATCTCTCCGTCAGAGTGTCATATATCGTTATACATTGCGAAATTGATCGAACGTGCAGTATATCATTTTGTATCTGTGTGACATGAAGCCATATTTCGTGCGAGAGTGGCAGTAGAAATTCGTGTAGACATCTCGCTTCCTTTTTGTCATTTTCTTATCGCGACGAACGCGGCGCGATCGCGATTTCTCTGAAAGATTCCCAAGATTACCTGAACACACACCTGGAACATGATCGTTTGAAATGGCTTTGCTTCTAGCCAACTTACGACGCGCGGACAAGAAGGAAGGTAATCACGCCAATCGAACGTGTTAAAACGAGTTGCTTTTGCCGGCCAACTTATACGTTTCCTCCGTTTATTGAGAGCTTTTCTGTTTGGCGATCACGAGTTAATTGATTGCGAGCTCTTGCTCTATCCGCCCTCGTGGTGGTTATTGCGTTTCTTTAACATACACACAGCGCAAACACAGTTCTCAGTATACACCAAGCACGCACATATATTCAGAGCGCGCAGAGTCCCCCCGAGAGAGCAATTACTAAAAATAATGGTGATTACATACATAAATTTTTATTATTCCTCGAGTGGAGAGAATCGCATTCTTCAGGGTGCTCTGCGGCTCCATGTAGTACAACCCCATTGATTTTCACACAGCTTTTGTAGCGCTGCTTGTAGTTGATCCTATGTTTAAATTTTATGTCGACTTCCATCTAAAAAAAGACGTAACGAACTATATTAAATTTTTCTGCTTAATTCTGTTCAATTATTCAATTAATTAAATAATAGTAATTTTTATATTCAATTTAATGTATAATTTTATTATATATTTTAGTTGTAATTTATATAATTGTTAATTTATTTTAGAAAAATTAGTAATTTAGGTTTTCTCTTTGGTGTATTTATTTAGCGGTAGATTATCCAACGTCTTCTCTTATTTTAGATGGAAAATGGCAAGAATATCCGGATATTCGTTTATTCCCTTTTATTTGAATCTAAATGTTTCAGTAACCCTTTTAGATAGCGCCTAGTATAACACTGTGTTTAATTCTGTGATTCTAGTGGTGGGACGAGGTCATGGACATATTTGACGGGGTACGCCATTTTTATATTAATGCATAGTTAAATAAGAATTTTCTCCGTTTCTCTATTCCTTCTACTCTTTCCTCGGTCTATCTATTATTGGTACTCTTTCGCGTAGATAGTAAGACTGAATTAAAATTAACATTTTCCATTACTTCGGAATTAACCTGGTAGCTCATCGCCTTGAGGGATCTTGTAGAATTACTATGTTGCCATAAATCTTCTTTTCCTTCTCTCGTAGAATTTTGTCGTAAAATCAGAATTACGAATAGGAAGCTGCCATCTCTAAAATAAATTTCAATTTCCCTCGTGAACGATCGCGCGTCTTTAATGTGATTATTGCATTTCAAGATATGTATTTCTAATTTTTGTGTGGTTTACTCTATTTAGTAAAGTTAGTCAATAAAAACAACGATCAGCGATTTTTCTCGTGCAACTTATTATTAGCGTCAAACGTGATAACTAAAGGCGGCTTATTGCGTTCCGATAATCGATGTCTTTGCACCTGACCGGCCGCATGCAATTCTCTTGCCTCATGGGGATTTCCCCGATATTACTTAAAGTGCCATAGATCTTTCGATAATGATAATTAAATCGAAGGATTTATACGAAAAAATATTACTGGGTGCAAAGAAATTTATCGCGTTGGATACGTACGTCGCGTATACGGTGATCCATGTCTTGACTTATGCACAGTATGTCGTTTTACCAATTGCACCTAATGTCTTCCGTCTTGAACTCCTGTCCTATGAATCGTCGAATCGTCCCGGATCCCGATCATCGTCCGCTCGAGATGATCGTGACCAATGTCCCCGATGATCGTGTGTGTGCGTGTGCGTGCTCGTCAATGTTTTGCGTGTCGTGCCCGCTCGTATGCCATCCCACACCGCTATCCACCTCCCTCTGACGACAACAACGACGACGACGATGACAACCACGGATGACAGTGGCTGAACGAAAACGGACATCCTCAGCACGCTAGGATGGAGTCTCTGGGCGGTGGTGTCCGGCAGTCCCGCATCCTCAGCCTCTCCTACCGGCCGGAGGACAGTGTAAGGATACCGGCAATCAACAGCACGAAAAACTCCGAGTTCGTTGGCGGCATATGGCGGGCGCTTCCGGTGGCATCGGAAGGTACGACCGATCGGTCGATCGATCTATCCTGCAAGTCGCGCACGCACCGGTCCAGAACTCCGATCCAAGACCGGTCCAAGTCGTCTTTGATCCTACCGGTTGAGTCTACTGATCGGTCGAACGATCGTTCAACTGCTGCCGGTGACAATGCCAAAGACGGTCGCATCATCCGACCTCTGGAACGCGCCCCCGCTGCCGCTGATGCCTGCTATTGGCACGCCGCCGGCAGCATGCTGGATGGAAGATCCAAGAGCTTCGTGTTGCCGGATCGTTGTCCGGCGCGTCGATCGCATCCGGTCGGGATCGAGCGATCAGCAGGATCGCCGCTTCCGGCCGTCGCCGTGATCGTGCCGTGCTCGATCGGTAATAACAGCATCCAGCAGCAACAACAGCAGCAGAAACAGCAGCAGCAGCAGCAGCAGCAGCATCATCATCATCATCATGGTCATCACCATCATCATCCCGAGCATCAATATCATCATCAACATCGTCATCCTCAACAGTCACACCATCAAAACCAAGAACAGCAGCGACCGCCGCTCTCTTCTTCTTCTACTTCTTCTTCTTTTTCCAGCACTGATCATATCATGCTACCACCATCACCGACAACACCTTCCGTTATCACCATGCAAGCCGTTTCACGGGTTAGAACGGCTGCCACATCGTCGACAAGTAGAGTGCACGATGACGTTGTCCTCTATCTGTATATCTTTCTGCTGTCTCTTTCTCTATCTGGCTGTCGAGTCGTCTCTCACTTTCTTCCTTACATTTTTGTCATGATTCTGTATCTCTCTCTTCATTCTTTACAGCCTGTTTCACACATTTCTATCTATATCATTATACAACACTCTACTTGCCGAGAAGAAGTTAGGCCGGTATTTATAGTCGGTTCTTATATTTAAGACTGTCTTAAGTATAGCCTTAAGATGTCATCAAAGCCGTATTAACATCTTAAAATATTACTTAAGACGGTTTTGAATACATTGAAGAATGGACTATGAATACTGGTTTACAGCTGCGATTTTAGCGCTTTCTCTGTACACGTCGCGAGAAACAAATTTCAAAGACACTGGAAAATATTTTTTAACATGATTCTGTATTTCTCTTTTTATCCCTTATATGCCTGTTTCACACATCTCGATCTATTATACAATACTTTACTTGAGAAGAAATTAAAGACGTGTTTTTAGCGCTTTCTCTGTACACATTGCGAAACTCCGAAAACACTAGAAAATATTTTTTTTTTTAACACATCACTCAATGCGGCATGAACGAAATATTTTATTACAGAAGCGAATTACTGGTCGCTGAGCGGTATCAATTATTTTTAATTCTTAAGAATTAATAATTCATATGTTGACATAATTTCTTTTCTGATTTACAAAATCACTCACAAGTGTATTTGCATCACAAGTGGCTATTGTCGATCTCCTCGTATCTTGATCTCCTGCGTACTTGTTTCCTTCTCTTGTATCTTTCATCCCCTCCGAATTATGTCTCATTAGCTTAATCCCGCCTCGACGTTCCTCTTCAACCTGGCTTAGCATTACACGACTGCGGCATGATTTGCTCGATGTTCTGCTCGATGTGATTGCTCATCTCAATTGAAAACCACTCGTTCTCGAATCTCGAGTAATCGTATCTCTTGCGCCATGCGACGTTTTATGCCAAGTAGCGTATGCGTAGCATGTTTCGTAGATAATAAGTGGCGATCGAGGACCGTCGACATAACGGACGATAACAATAATGGCGTTTCCCTCTTTTCCAGCCTTTCGATCAGCGCAGCAACGCACGTGCCGCGGCCAAGCCGTACATAACTCAGTAAGTACAATGTCAATTCCTGATCCCTTTAATTCTGTGTAATGAATCGAGCTGTCATCCGACGGTGTCTTTCACCGGCGTTTCTCATTTGCGAAGTGCCCTCAAAGAGTCAGGCTACGAGAGCGACTCGACGCTGGTGTTCCGCCGACGAGAAGATATTAGTCCGCTCAGCCTTTTAGAGCAGAGACTGGCATACAAAACGGTGCAGAGCGGTGGTGACGTACCCCTCCATGGGCTTCGCAAGCCAGCCCCAGAACGTCCAAAGGGTGAGTAGCCCCGACCCTCGTGCTGTATGCGTTTTAATCTTCCTTTTGTTTCTTACTTTTTTTCATACGTCTTAATTTGCTACAGTCAGCACGCTGAACAACATCAGCCGTGTAACTCGAGTTTATTTTTGGCATGCGGGTGTGTGTTTTAAGGTTGCTTGCAATGTGTGTGCATTTTTATTAATTACCATTGTGTTTTGTCAATTATACGCATGCATCCCGAAACTTCGAGTGATGAGAGAAAGAAAATTGGTTTTACATTGTTAAAAGATTATAAAATGTTAGTATTATATTTTTATTGTTAGAGAAATTGTCATGATTGATTTATAAATATTTCGGATTATTTATGATGGGGGGATGTTAAAAAAAAAATATCCTCGATGTTTCGCAAAATTGAATGTGTCGACGAAAGTCGAGATGATTTTTTTCTCTCAGAATATTTCAACTCTCAGTGCTGATTTATGCTGAAAAACGCGCGGCATGACGTGTGAGTAGTGCTCTATTTGAAGCACACAGCTTTGTTACGTACGAATTTTCTTTATATGTGTAATCTCCCGTAGGTGGTTGCATCAACGTCAGTTAACACTAATCGCGATTAATTAGGCTGGAGGAGAGGCTGCCGTGGGACAACGGATCTGTCCAAGTTTGTGCGACCATTGTGGTACTTGGCTGATAAACTTACCGGCCGACTTGACTCTCCGGTATCGATTAATTAATCAATCAAAGACGCATCGGTGGCATCGCCGGTATCGATTAATTAATCAATCCACGACACCTCTCCGTCAGTCTAAAACTTTCCTTCCTGGATATCGCGTTATAGCCGAGGCTGCGATCTAGAAGGGACAGATAATCGATAATTGGAATTAGTTAATCAATAGAATTGGTGCAACCTGACCTCGGGCGTTCTCACTTTAGTTTAAATATGGCACAGCTCTTCTCTCGATAATCTATCGATATTGGTGCGCGAGCCGGTCTTTCCGAAAAGCTCTTTTTGCAATCTTCTTTTTTACGTAAGCACACCTGCCAGTCGCAGTAATGTCACGATGAGGAATGGCGAATCCTCGCATCGGCACGCTGTCGCACCGGCGAAGCTCGGCGCGTCCACCAGCTTAGCCTTGAGCGGGACAACCTTTAGACGACTGATCTTTGGGTGGCAGGGTGTAAGAGCGAAGGGCCTTCGATGGTACATCGAGAACCCGGACCAAATTCCGAAACTTTGTCCACAGACGACTCGGAGATCGAATATTTCCCGATCTCGCCAACTCTGACGAGGATCCGCGTGCATCGAAGAAGCGCCTCGTGCACGTCAAGAATCACCTCGTCCACGACGGCATTCTCAACGTGGCACGAGTGGTCGATATTGTCCTTGATCGACTCAAGATCCCCGCCGCAGGTCATGAGAGCTCCTTCTCATAGCCTCTCATCGTCCGGTAGAGCTCTTCCGCAAACTATGTCGGCGCCGAGGCCTCCTTCGCCGCCCCGAAGAAAATCCTCACGCCACAGCAGAACCTTGAGGAAATTATATTCAGAAAATACGCGATTGATCGATAATTCGTACACCGCATATTCGAAACCTAGGCACGAACAGTGCTTCGCGCATGCCGACAGCGTGTCGAGCATCAGATCTCTAAGAGAGAGATTCTGCAGCAATCTCGAGCGGCATCGACAAAGTCGCGAGCAGTTTCATAGCACAATCGTGCGCACGTCCTCCAGCAGCCCGATTGCCTCGAAGACCACCAAGGTGTCTACTTTATTCTCCAACACTTTCGGTAAAAGAAAATCGGATCCCTGCTTATCACAAACTCAATTTGAAGCAAAGAAGTTAAACTTGCCATCAAGCAGTGCGAGAAATCACGTTTGTTCTTCAACATCGCCGGCATCGAGAAATATTCGCGAACCTTCAGTGAAGCTTGATAAACTCGCAGCAGTAAAGGTGCCATCCAGACACGCAACTTCTGTTGCCACTAAAGTAAGACAGAAATCTCCAGAGAGAACGAAATCGGAGCCTCTCTCAACTGCGAAGAGAGAGAAACTTCGTTTGACGAAGAAAGAGCAAGAACAATCTTGTAGGAGGCTAAGCAGATCACAGGAACTCTCCTCACCAGTGGAGGTCAAGAAAGCTTTGCAGAAGCACAAAGAAAAAGAAACGAGGGACGTGCAGACCAAGATACTTTCGTCAGGCACTGTAGTAAAGAGCTCGGCGATCTCGTCGACAAGTAAACAAAAGCGTCCAGTGGATAAGTCTCTCAAAGTTGTTTCGCTCAAGGGACAGGAAGTATTACGAAAGACATCTGAACATCGTCCTGAACAGCTTACGGTGACAAAAAAGACGTCAAGCGCCCAGCTAAAGTCTCCTGCGAAAAGTGCGTCATCACAGATCACTAAGACGGAGCCAAAGAAGACGAAGATCGTCGCGAAGCCGCCAGAAAAGCTGGTTGTTAGCAAAGAATCCTTACGTTCGATATCCTCGTCTTGTTCCGAAGTGAACAAGAGGAAGCGACCTCGTGAAAAGCCGCACACGATCGTCAAAACTCCGACAAGGAAGCCGGAGACAATACGCATAACTATGAACGGTGACAGGTTGAAGAGATAAGAGCGTCGATGAAGCGGACGTGAGCAAGACTTTGAACGGGTGGAGGGAGATGGCTGAGAAAGATGAGATCAAGATACTGAGGAGAATAGAGAAGATAGCGCCGAATGTCGGGCAAGATTCCAGGATCACCTGCTTGACCGTGGAGGAGATCAAGAAACATCAGGAGGCAACGCGCACAGACACTTTCTTCCAAAACCTTTTCTTACGGAATCATCCGTCGTTCGCACAATCTCACGAAGAGAACATGAAGTCGTCTCTCATCAGCGAGCGTGCAAAAATATTCCAGGACGGCGTGAGGGAGAGCTTCAGGTCGGAGCCATCTCTAAAGTCTTTGAGCGTGTATTTGGCGCACAAACGGCCGGTTGAGAGCGTCGTCTCGTCCAGGAGTTCAAGTCCGTACGGGATCTGCTGGCCCGGCCGGTCCGTTTTTCAAAAGATTGGCAAGTTTGACAGCTTGTTGGACATCGATGATTTTGGCTCGTCCACCATGTTGCGCGTTCGTAGTCCAGAATCTACGTCGCGAGAACACGTGAAGGAGCGAAGTCTAAGCGAGCCGCCATTGAAGACTTTGCCCGAGTCCAGAGAATCTTCGCCAAGATCCTCTTCGCCATCTCCGGTGAGATCGCAGGCATCTCGACGAACTTATATCTCCAAGCAGGAAGACTTAGACGCCCCGCTGACGATTACGAAAAAAGTAAGAGCCAGAAGCGCCGGTGAGGCAGAGGACGCCAAGAGGGAGGGTTCGAATCTATCATTGAAGAGCACCAGTTCATTATCGTCCATGGATCGCGAGGATTACCAACAGTATATACTCGAATTGTTGCACCACAGACGCAAATCGACACGGTACAAAGATCTGCGTGACTTCTATGCGAATCTCAGCAGGATGGACCAGTTGGAGCGTACGTTTTCCTCGGGGGATCTACGACCGCGGCTGAAAAACGAAGAAATCATCGATTATGATCGTTGGAAACGGGTTAGATCGAAGGAGAAGGCGGAACAGGAACTGAAGGCGCTTTACGGAAAGCTGAAGAGTGTTCAGCGTGACAAGGACTTTCTTTTTAGCGCGAAAGACATTGATAAATTCAGGTGGCACGGCGATTGTGGACTGCGCTGCAAAGAACGCTCTGTGGAAGATATCTTGCAGTATTTTCGAAGACTTCAGAGCGAGGAAGGCGAACTGGAGTTCTCCAAGAAAAGAGCTGTTATGCAGAAGGATACATATAAACCTCTCTGGCGTGGAAATTCGGTCGTGAACGTGGCGACTACGATGCAGAAGAAGGCGAATGTCAATTTTCGGGATACTAACAAATTCGCAGATTACCATCCATCGTTACAGAGGAGTCTCGGCGGCAGTAAGAAGTTCTGGAGCAGTTTGTCCATCGAGCAGGTAACCAACCTAAAGAAGCAACTAAACGAAATTTATGGTAGCGACAGTCCCCAGAAACGATCGAACGACGACGTTGTCGATGCACCTCGTGAAATTAGCGAGCATCAACAACCTAAAGAAAATCCCATTGCTAAAGACGAAAATTTGACTAATTACGAAATTATTGTGCCACCTGAAGGCGATTCCCAGAATCATCCTCAAGATTCAAAGAGTCTCCACGTACGATGCCATTCGATGATAGCGACAAACGAGTCAATATTAAAAGAACAGAGTGACGCCGAGAAAACCTTGAAGAAGAGCGATTCCATTGGACGTTTTAAGAGCATTGAGAGATCAGAATCGGAGAGATCGATCTCACCGTCGATGTCGGAGCTGGAGAAGAAGAGGCTGTCGTTGACTCTCGGCAAAGAGATGCTGGACAAAATGATGCGAAAAAGACAATCCTCGCCTTTAGCACCTCGCGAGACTCGTGGTAGCATTGCCGCTGCCTTAGCGGCCACGAAGATGCCAGCAAAACCGTCTACAAAGAGTACCACAAGACCTCCCTGTGCGCCCGATACACCCAGCGTGGCCAGCACTTCCCCCAGGACCTGTTATTCCCTCGAAGCACCATATGTTGAAGACACGACTAAATCCAAAGACAAGAGCGACTTCCTGCTGGTGTTGACGCCCAATAACGAGAGTCCTAGCGACAAGCAACGCGTGGAGACCGTGCTCGAAGAATGGTCGAAGATACCTCCCTTGTTGGCTATGACGGTGCCAACTGAGAAAGCAAAATCAAGCAGCAAGTTTGCTTCGGGCAGCGATGGAGACAGCATGACGGAGAGTTCGGAGACCTCGGTGAGAACGGTGATCCAGCGAGGCAATGGACCCGAGACAGAGGACGTATCGCGGAAGATCGAGTTCTTCGAGAATGTGGAGAAAAGAACAGAACAGCAGAAGGAGATTGTGCCGATGGCGACAGCGACGACGACCACCACTACGACATGGACGTTTCGCGGCAGAAAGAAGCTACCGTCGTCTCAGAGTTTCGCTGATTTGAAAGAGCTTTTTGGCGAGTCGGAATCAGCCAAGTATAGTTCGCTGGCCGGTGCTGCCGGTAGGCTCGATCGATCGCGATCGACGTCGCCGCGGGAACGAAAGATCGACGGCAGCTCACCGACGCAGCCGGAAGTGATGAGTACGCGACAACAACGACGGTCGTTCCGCTCCTGTTCACGGGAGCGTGAACACGACGCGAGGCCGCGCAGCGTCAGTCCGTGTCGCGCGACCACGCGATCGAACTCGTCCTGCAGCGTGGACAGCGTCGGCGGTTGGCCGCGCAGTTCGTCGCCGGATCCCGAGAGGTACTGGCGAGCCTATCTCAACCTGGTGCGGAACGGGACGGTGCGTAGGTTACGCGCGAGATTTGAGAGCGCCGAGGATCTGCCTCGACGTGTCAGGATCGCTGCCGCGCCGAAACGCTTTCGCAGCGATCCGGAATTGGCACGGAGCTTGTTGAAGAAGGCGAGCGAGGGAGAGGAGCGTGGCAGTGCTCTGAAGCCTCACGAGCACGTCGACGTGGCATGGTTACGCAAGAAATTCGAGACGAAGAAGGGACGACCGCGGATAGGACGAAGGGGCGAGTCACCACCGATCCCGCGGGTACCGCTGCGCCGGGAAAACCTCTCGATGCCGCACATCGATGTCATCAGCAAGACGGTCGAATTGAAGGAGCCCCAAGCTACCAGTACTGTCACCAACCACGTGACCAGACGAGCGGAGACCAAAGAACTCGAAGCGAAGAAACCGGTCTGCCGGATGCGGAAAAGATTCGAATCACCGGACACCGCGGGTGGTGGCCGAACTTCCATAATGGGCGAGATGTTCACGTCGGCGCCGGACGTGCGTGAACTTCGCGACATCGCGCCCTACCTGGCCGGGAAGTGGGTGGCGCACCGGTACCCCAGTCGTCGGGACAACATGCGCTCGCTGTCGTCGCCGGCTGATCTCAGGATTCACCGGGGTACCTCGAAGACGCGTTCTTCCTCGGTTGACAAGAAGAAATCGGAACGTCCGCGTGCCACCTCCTCGTCGCCGACGCGGCCGCGAACGACCCCTGCATCGATCCTCAAACCGTCACAGCAGACTGTCTTCGCCGGACAACCCTTCGATCCCGACAAGCACAAACCGAGGTTCAGGTATCAACCACCGCCTCCGCCGCCTTCGCCCACCGCCGTGCGAAAGCATAGAACCTGGTGGCCGACTTTGCCTGTCTACATGGCGCGGCCTACCGTCACCTTCGAAGGTCTGAAATCTCGTCAGCCATTTGGAGCGTCTAGGCTGGATTGAATCTTCCTAGATTTCAAAAGCGGGAAGGAGAAGCCAAGAAATTTCTCCGTGTCTTTAGAAATAAATCTAAGTTTTTTTTGTTTGATCGATTATAAAGTAGAGTTTAAGTTCGTTAAATTGTGCGATTGAATTAAAAAAATTATTACCGCCTCTCGTGGCACCAATATCGTTAGATATTAGAGAAGAACGTGCGTCAAGTTGACCGACAGATTCGCTCGGCAACGTGTGTGCGATTCCTCGTTGAATCCCGCGAGTTGATTTTCATAGCTGGTAGAACGGCTAATTATTATTTTAATTTTTTTCCGCTCATTCATAGAATACTCGAATGCACCCCCGCCGCCACCAAAATCCCAGCACTGCAGAGACGATCGCCAAGGTAATGCCGATTACACAGATCATTTTTATTATTACGTATATTTTATTCTTGTGTGTTCTGTGTGCGTCTGTCCGTTCACGCGCGTGTCGCAGTCTGAATTACCCTACCGTGTGTTTCATGACATCTGGCATACTGGCCCTCGTGGAAACTAAACATATTTAACCAACCGGGCGGTTTTTTACCTGGAGATAATTTTGTTTGAAAACTAACTGCTAACATCCAAATAATGATAACGAAATGCTTTTTTTCCATCCTACACTGAGAGAAAAATGCACTAAATTTTAATAAGTATTTGTTTGAATAATGCCAGTTAAATATTTACTAAATGTAACAAATATTTATTTGATACAAGAATCATTAATTTGATTTAACTATAATATAATTTTTATTTAGCAAATATTTATTTTCTGTAAATAAATGTTATATTAGTACTATTCAAACAATTATTTATTAAAATGTATATTTTTCTCTCGGTGTATTCAAACACTTTCAATCCTAAATTTAGCAAAAGCAGAAAATAAAAGAGGAAGTATGTAAATTTCTTCGAAATGCATACATTTTGTATACGCGTCGTCGGGCTTACGACTGATCGATTTAGAGCCATTAAAGTTCGGGCACGTAGTCGATGTGGGCACTTGCTAAATGCGAGTCGTGATAATACGTCATGGTGCATGTGACTCAGGATGCATGAGCGACGCGTGCTCGGAAAAGAGATCGTGCAACGAACGTTTGCACGGGCGATCGAGCATAAACGTAATAATCGTACGGTCGGTCGGGAGCACTCCGGTGCTCATCCGGTTGGTACATCACTTCGTTATCCGCACGTTCGCATAATGCCTGGTCCAGTTCCAGCAAATGAATGCGAACAGTCGCGGCTGAGCAGCTCGCCTCAATGAGTATAAACGGCGTCGCGCTCATTAAAGCAAGCCGTTCATTCACGTTTATTCGCACTTCTTCGTTTGGCTTGGGATCACAAGTCTACACTGTTAAATCTATAAGGTCAAATTTAACCTAGTGTGAGTCGCCACTGCTCCTAAATATATCATTTTTTACTAATACGATAATTAAATTTGACATTATATCGTGTTATGTTAATTTGATACTATATAGTGTCAAATATAACCATGTTTTAATATAAAATAACGATTTGATTGAGTAGGAGCAATGGCGACTCACGTTAAGTTAAATTTGACACTATAGATTTAACAGTGTAGAATCCTCAAGTAAAAGACTGAGGACCATTTAGACAACTTCTGATTGATCCGTCATATTTTTCAAAACCTGCTAAGATTGCTAAATTTCGTAATAAGTATTTGTGGTCATGAGATAACAAAAAAGTAATGAATGATTTAATTAAAACGATTATAAATACTAATCGGGCTCTCGAAATTAAAAATAAAAATACAATGATAACGGATGCAATGAGAGCATTAATACAGCGCGGAAATTGGTGCGCAAATTATATACACTGTTAAATCTATAGTGTTAAATTTAACTTAACACGAGTCGCCACTGCTCCTACACAATCATATCGTTATTTTATACTAAAACAATGGTTATGTTTAATATTATATAGTGTCAAGTTGACACGATATGGTGTCATATTTATCTATCGTTTTGGTAAAAAATAACGATATATTTAGTAGGAGCAGTGGCGACTCACGTTAGGTTAAGTATTTGATATTATAGATTTATCAGTGTATAATAACTCCCACAGAAGGGACATGCTCATCCTCGGTCTCATGTAGAATGTTTTCTCCAACATATACGGACTATAGTATCAAGACATCGACTAAAATATTCACAACTTGCTAAAGATGGTTTGAAGAAAAATCGAAACATTCGAGTAAATTTGTATGTTAGATAAATATATTTTGAATATCATTTGAAACAAAGTTATTATATATAATTTGTGCACCAATTTCTGCGTCGTATTAATGCTCTCATTGCCCGTTATTATTGTATTTTTATATTTAATTAAAAATCTAAGTTACAAGTAAATAGTTTTAAATGTAATGAATATGTGCGTTAAATTTCAACAGATCCACATAAAATTGTATGAAAAGTACATTAAATTTCACGTACATGTATACGAATATACTTTTCAATTATAAATACATTAAATATGTAATGTAATTTCATGAAATGAAATTTAACTTGGGTAACATACATTAAATTTCATGATATTTTTAGCAGTGTAGAATTATGAGATAAATTATGCATAAGATAGAATGAGATATTCACGCATCTCATTCTACCTCACGCGTCTATCTCATTCTATCTAAGCAGGTCTAAAAAAATATAGCGGACAAATCGGAAGTTGTCTAAACGGTGTCCAGTCTCTTACTTGAGGATCTCTACATAAGTTACGCTCGTCGCATGCAAGCCACCGACGCGAAACGTGCCAAAAATAATATGCACTTTCGCATATGGAGAAATCTCACCGTGGCTCGCCGAGGCCTCGATTAGAAATTTGATATAAATGCGCCTCGTGCTCGCTTGTGCTTTCCTGTGGATGCGCGAGATCGTGAAACAGCACGTGAAACATCAATGTTGAATGCGTCACTGCATGACATTAGAGATACCTGTATATTTTTTTATCATTCAAAAAGATTGAGCGTGAGATTAGACCGCTTAATTAAAATATTTTTGCAATTTTTTATGTATAAAACATTCAGAACGTAACGATTAGTAACGATAGTTTGCAATTAGTTATTACGGCTGAAAAGTGAAATGAATTAATTACGTGGGTATTAAAAACATAACAACTTAACAGAAGTATGTACATATTTAAAATGATGTTACGTTCTATATTGCATAAAAAGGGGAAACGAGTAATCAGGAAACGACGGATAAAAATGATGGCAACGTTTCGGAGTGGACAAAGAGAAAACTGCGTTTATGGCCTGTTACGTGATCGATTGATTATGTTCAGTTTACCGATCAATTCGTATAATCAAGGTATTATCGCTAATCCGGAAAATCCCGCTTAGAAATCAGTCACGATGAAATAATTGCGCGTATTACGATGTCAAAGAGTCCCTAAATCATTTCATCAGTTTTACGATGTCAAGGGCATTCGCGACTCCGCTAAACAGTGGTCGCGCATACTAATTATCTAACGGGAAGGTAACAGTGAACTGGCTGTCGTTCAATTTACACGTGAATACCTAGAAGTACAATACAAGCGACACGAAAAGCACACAACCCATTTAATTATATTACATACATCCGTATAAAAGATTTCCGGATCCAATACTATTCTTCGATTTATCACAAAACAATGAATGTAGGGACTGTTACACTCAGAGAAAAATGTACTAAATTTTAATAAGTATTTATTCGAATAGTGCTAGTTGAATATTTACTAAATGTAAACATATAGTTATTTGATACAAGAACGATTAATTTGATTTATCTATTACTATACCTATTACTATACCATCAATTTGATTTACCTGTTATTTTATTTTATTTAACTTTTTATTTAACAAATATTTATTTTCCGTAGATGAATGTTATATTAGTACTATTCAAACAATTGTTTATTAAAATTTAGTACATTTTTTCTCAGTGTATGTATTTATTATTAACTGTATTTGTTATTAACAGATAAATATTTTATTTTTAAATGGAGAACATTATTAAGTCTAGAATAAAAAATGATTTTGGACGGTTTCGTATTAAATACTATGGCGCCAGCATTGTGTTATAACGTTGGATAAAAATTATTCTAAACGTAAGAATATATAACTTTATATGTATTATTTTTGTTTTAAAAGAATAATGTCCACTTTTACACCAATACAGACCTTCAATCTTGGTTCAACTTACTCTTTATCTTTTTCTAGTTCTAAAAATGAGGAAGAGTTGAGGAGTGAATTGAACCGAGATTAGTTAATCTACAAAGTTATTCTACATTGATAGAAATCACAAGTCAGTCTTATTTAACTAGAGGGAGGGGAATAAGAATTTAATCTAATCTAAATATTATTTTATTTTTATATTTTTATAAGATTACATTAAGATTAAGTATGTCAAGAATATATTTTTGTTTCGTGGTGAGACATCCTTTCTGAATAGAGAAATAGATAAGAAATCTTTTAAATAAAAAAACTGCTTGGTTTCTCGAAATCTTTCGTGGATCAGAGAAGATATTTAAAAGTCATTAATGTTACGAAACACGACATGCAACTTCAAGACAGGAAGACGCAAAACCTCAACAAATTTAATGCTAACGATGTCGATCGTATCGCTTAACGTTAGATCATACCGCATACGCGATATTACGTGCCGCTAAAATTGGTACAAGTGGCGGTCACGATTATTTTCGACGCGATGATCACAGCGCCGAAGCCGAAGCAGAAGTGGTCGTCGCGATGTCCACATACTTTAGTTGATACTGCGCGATAAATTCGACCATCGCGCGCGATTGTCATTGTCGTTGCGTAACGCAATTAACATACCTAATCACCAGCTTGCGTGACCAGTTCGGAACGTCTTCGGCACTGCAACGAACCTCGGCATCGAGTCGTTGTTATTTCAAATATTTGCTACAAACGTGGAGACTCTTGTCGATCGTCCCTTCTTATCTAATCTCTCGATGATTAACGTACATGCGCGTTTCCCTGTTCGACATGTGCAGTTTCGTCGACGATGATACCAGGTGGAATGGAATCTATAGTCTGTCTTCTCCGCAAGAAGCGATATACGAGCGTAGAAAATAATACCGCCGGCGTCGTGAATAATTGACGTGCTCTGGAAAGTGATTAGCGTGCAAAACAACTCATTACATTCTGCGATGCGCTCATATCGCACGCGAAGAAACATCGTACAACAACGTGGCTTTTGTCAGTGGCCTTGAACGCCTTTTATTACGACGACCATATATTTATCTTTGCGGATAACGACTCGAAGAAATGACGCTTACGTAGTTCTCCCACAAACTTTACGTAGCCGTGTACATTTTCTCTCGTGCATTTGGCAAGAATAATTCAAGA